TGCATGTATCATTACTATATATATTATACGAAAGAATGGACAACTCCTTAAAGCAAAATTACCTAAAATTTCTAATTAATATCACACTTGATATATCAACACTATCAAAACTACATATGACCACTATGTAGCATTATGTTTTATCACTCAAGACATTATTTAAAAAAAGTTAACACCACAAAATATGTAAATTTTCTTTTTTGTACAGAAATCATTCAATCATTTCAAAATTTTCCAAATCATGGAAGGCCATTTACAACTCCAAATATGCTTATGATAACACTAAGATAAAATATATCTTGATTTTTTACCATTTCTGAACTAGATTATCAGAAAATTAGTCTCAGTTTATTAGGTACATTTTTAAAATGTACTAAGAGAATATTGAAAACAGCACACTCAAAATCCTACAATAAGGAGGAATTTAAAAGGTGTGGATGTTTTCCCTTTCACTGTACATTTGTTTTAATGCATTTAAAAGGAAACTGTGTACAACTTGATTCACTTTCAAGTTTCATTTATCACATATAATGGTACTTGGAGTTTATCTACTGGAAGGCTTAATTTTCTAGAGCAAATTCAGGTGACAGCATGAAAACAAAAAGCTTATGTTATATATATGAATCACTAATCTGATTTCTCCTGACCACTTCCTTTATTAATCCGTTGCTCCACTAAGTTCAGAAGTCTGTCCGAATATTGCTGTAAGAGGGCCATGGTATTAACCATTTCAGGCTGATTTGTGGAATCCAATTTCTTCCCCATAGATTGCTGTACAAAATCAGATGACAATAAATTGGAAGAACTCATGGTCATACGTTTAGCATTTCCAAATGGGTTTGTAGTATCCAAAGATGTACCAGAAGGATTCCACATGGGCATTGGGGGAACAGCTGGTCGCAAGTTTTGTTGAGCCTGGAGAACTCCTTGAGCTAAAGTTGTGGTCATAGTAGACTTTTCTGCTGCAGGCAGTTCAGTGTCTACTGTTACCTGGACAATAAATAAGTATACAAGGTAATATGTTTCCACAAGTTGCATCATGAGTGTTTCTCAAACTGCACTGGGTTCAGTACATACGATTAATTTTCTAAGCAATGTTGTTTTTCTGGAAACGTAAATAAACTTTTAATACCTGCAGATCTCAAAGCAAGAGTTGGCAATTATTGGTCATTTGTCAAACTTATCAGCCAAATAAAAGTCATCAGTCTGGCCATGGCTGTTTTGTTTTATCCAGTAAATTTTGATATTCTGAAGGTTTTCACAAAATCAAATAGAAGTAGAAAAAGAAAAAGCTAAACTACCAAAATATTTGTGAAACTGGATGATAATACTAAAATTAATATTATAAACCTGTACCTTCTCATGAAATTTTATTTTATACTAGCATAAATAGCATACCAAATTTAACTTTTTTGAGATGAGGCTTTTGATCAACATATGCATAGTGGACAGATAAACATTTACAAAAGACAATCCCAATAAATGAATAGCTTGGTTACAAACGTAGTATAGTGATTACATCTTTATTATACTTATAACCTTTATAAACCTGCACAGTGTGTTGAGCCCACTGTAGAGATTGATCTTTTAATTTTAACATTATAGGCTTACCACTTAACCTCCAGAGAGGCCACATGTTAGCTTCAGTGCTACTAATTTGTTACTAGTGTTAAAAAAGTAAACTTATTTCCAATTAAACTTTCATTTCCTACTGCATTTATTTCACACAATTCTATTTTTACTCACCCTTTGAAATATCTGAATGGCATAGCTCGTGACTCTCTTGAGCTCTTCTGCAACCTTTACACACAACTCTTGAGTTACTGCAAAAGTTATATGAAAGTCTTAAATATAACTGCAAAGATTAAAATAAGATCATAAAATAATCAAAATACAAAACAATTCTAATATTTAAGAATGGTAATTACCTTATAATAATAGCATGCATAGTTGAAAATTCATAAGGATAAATCAGCTTGAAAAAAGAAATTTAATAAAGTAAAGAAATGAACAGTTTAAAAAATGTTTTAGAAAAAGGAAAATTCATCACATAAGGGTAGTTGCTTTGAAGTTCTTTGCATTAATAACTGGGAAATAATAACGTGTTTATCAGGAAATAATTATTCATTTAATATCTATGAAAAAGTGGCCAAACTTACATGGTACTGATGATGCTTTGGTAAGTAGGGTGATTGAGCTTTTCTCCCCACTCAGTAAAGACATTTCTTCTGAAGAAATGTTGTTAATATTTACATTATCATCGTCATTCACCTTAGGCAACACAGACATCATGGGTTCAACCTTTGCTTGTGTACTACTACTGGTATCATAACCACTGTCTTTACCCAGTCGACTAAGGTCTAATTCACTCTTTGACCTGGAGGGGTCATTAGACGGTTGAAGTTTTCGTGAGGTGAGTGTGTTATGTAAAAACTTGTTGGGGTCATTAGAATATCCTTTTCCTTTCCCAAACTCTGCAGTACTGAGGCTCCTCTCTCGCCCCATAGAGACAACTCTCCCAACAGGGTGAGAAGACTGAGGCTCTGTAGGTGAACTGTCAGATGAAGAAGAATCAGGAGGAAGTTTTAAAGGTTCCAAGCTACGAAGAGACAATCTTCGTGGTGTAGACAGAATTGTTCCAGACCTTCCTAAGGCACTCACACTTGAAGTTGATGGAGCTTTGGACAATGGAGAAGCTCCCAGACCTGTGCGACGAGGGGTTCCAGACACCTTGGCTAAAGTGTGAACTGATGGAACTTTCAAAAGAATTGACCCAGAGGAAGGTCCTTTATCATCTCTAGGTTGAAGGGAGCTCATACTAGCGCTGCGAGACATATTGTTCCAAGGTGAAAGTAACTCACTTGAGGTTTGGTCATCAGGTTGTGTCTTAGCTTGAGCCCATAGAGGAGCAGTAGAGGACTGGGACCCTAGTGGAGACAGGAATATAGTATGCAAAAAGTCAGAATATGATAAGTTTTGGATAGAATAAGGGAAAAGATAGATACACAATAATACTACACAGTAAATTTTTAACAATTTGTACTTAACAAAAAGTTAGCAGTGTTACCATTGACAATAACTTTATAAAAAGAATCACCTCACTTAAGCACTATGTAATTAGCTTATGGGGGAAATGGAGCCATAACTGCTCAGTTATGTTCAATTCTATTTTTTTTTTTCTATTATAAGAACAACCACAAGCTGCTTCTAGTCAAGTAATATAAACACCAGATTACTAGTTCTTGCAATTTATGTAAAACCAATTTCACCAAAAACTATTAACAATTTCTAAACATTCAGCTTCTTGGTGTCAAAAGATCATGTAACACAGACCTAGTTTAAACCAGAAATAGTTTCTTGATACATTTATCCCCTTCTTTTTATATTTAAATTATTAGGGATACCTGCTAAGGATTTCGATGTAGGTGCAGTAGGAAGAAGTCTTCGACGTGTTGAACTTGGGGTGCTTAAGTCAGTGATTGAAGCAGTCCTGCGGATTGAGTTTTCAACAGAAGATTCTAAAAGAACAGAAAGATTGTATGTGATCAAAGTTTTAATCATATTAACTATAATGTCATATAAAAATGAATGAGCATTGATACTAAATGTAACATGCTAACTAACAAATCGTAACTTGCTAGTTTAGGTGTTAAAATGTAGGAACATATAGGAGTTCCAAGTCAAATGTTAAGATGACCTATTTCTTGCTAGGTTCTCTACTAAACCCCAGATAATATACATTTCATATTATGAATAAGTCTTCTCAGTAAAGACAATGGTCCAACTTTTCAAACAATGTGTAAACTACCCTTTTACACATGAGAGAATTTCAGTGTAAACTATTATTTTAAAATACATCCCAAACACTTAATGTAGTTGTAAAATTGACATACGTAGCTTTCAAGTATTTACCACATATGTAACTAAAAAATAAATCATGATCATTAAACTTTTATTTACTGATACGTTCTATAAAAGGACATCTGAATCTTTATATAAATATAAAAATGTAAACAAAGTACAGTAACTGGTATCATCAAAAGTGGCACTTATTTCATATTGGAGAAATAAGGATGAGGAATACATGTGTATGCAAAACACTTGAATGGTTTAGAACAGAAGTTTATGCCGAAGAGAGGAATAATAATAAATATTTATATACAAACTTTACAGCATACATAATTCAGGTATCAAATAACAGCCCCCATGTATAGCAGATGAATTCACAGCATACATAATTCAGGTATCAAATAACAACCCCCACATATAGAAGATGAATTCACAGCATACATAATTCAGGTATCAAATAACAGCCCCCGTGTATAGAAGATGAATTCACAATAAGGATTAAAACCAATTTAATGCAATTAAACTTCCTATTTTCAATTCTATTGTTTTCTTCATAATAATAAATGTGTTTAAACTTTAACAAAAAGACCCGGAAAACTTTACTTACCCATTTTTGGTTTTTCGGTTGTTTCACTGTCAGTGACATTATAAAGATCTCCCATGCTTTTACTATTGCTTAAACCACCTTTCCAACCAAGCTATAAAAAAGATAAAGTTTTTATAAGTCATGACTTTATCTTCTAAAATAAAACACTAATAACTAGAAAATGTAAGATACCTTCTACACTGAGTTATCTTACTTTGTGTTAAATTATGTCTGTCATTGCTACTTCTAAAAATAAATATAAGTTTTAAATTTCTAAATTAATATACATAACTAACTACTGGAATAGGCAGAAATGAACTTACTGTTTCTAACTTTTTGCGGGCTTCATTGAGAGCTCTTGTCAGCTCCTCTCTTTTATTTGGCTTACTATCTACTTTCTGTTACAAACAAAAGATGATTAATGTTCTGCGTTAGTTTCAAGATTTAAATCATCACCTTAAAAATTAAACATTAACAGTCAGCCCATACTATAATCATATTTGTTACATCAATATTATAACAGTACTATAATATATACTCATAGTGATCTGCTCTAGTTTTTACTAATGTAATAGAAAAATAGTACAAAGAAAACACCTGTTTTAAAAAGTTGCCACAATTTGTAGCATTTAACATTCTACCAATTTAAACAGTATATAAAAAAAAAACATTTCATCAACCTTTCCAGAATGAATCATTCATTAGTGTGGTGAAAAAAAAAATCAAAGCAATAATGTATAATGGCTAGACATATCAAGTTAATGAAGAAGAATGTTCAAAGTAAACAAAGAGAAAAAAACACAAGTCAACTACACTTTAAAAGAATATAGATGTGAAAAGGTTAAAAGTTACAATTGTAAATAAAATAAAACTGTAAATTTTGCAAAATGATGCATTCAAAGAAAAATGTTTTGTTCACTTTATTTCATATTTATAAACTTTTAATTTCACTGTACATTGCTACAGTTTGTATTAGGGTAGAGAAAGTAACAAAATACAAAGTTCACCAAAATCAAATTTTGATATTCATTTAGGAATATCTAGAAGTTGGACAAATGATACAAGAAAACTGTAAGATTAAAATACTGTATTTGCTCAAATATAATGTTCCCCAAAAATATAATGCGCACCCAATTTTGAAAGGTTAAATTGAAGAAAGTTTATTTTTTTTTTTACTACATCAGTTGTACAAAATGTATTGAATAGTTTTTAAATAGAGTAAACAACTATAGATTTATTAAACATTTTTGGAAATATTTTAATGAAAAGTTTATATGTAGTAATACACTAAGCTAATCATTTATCTTCACTTAAATCTTTGTCAATACCATCAAATTAATTGTGTTTATCAGATATGCTTCCTTGTGAACCTTTGTTTCATTCTCTTCTGATTCCCACAGCATGTCCTCATCTGTCCCATCCATTGCATTAGATATGCAACATTTTTGGTGTTAGCTTCTAGTAAAATACCTAACAAAATTAAATGTGCACAAACATAATGTGCAGTAAATTTTTTTGGGAGGTACTTGGAGGAAAAAAAAGTGTGCATTATATTTGGGTAAATATGGTGTGTTTATTCTTAACATGAAACATATATTTCACTCAGACTGACTCAGTAAAAGCTTCATAAATTCTTTAACACATCTTTAGTAAAAATATTTTATTAAAAATCTGATTTTCTGTCTACAACAGACATATAATGTTTACTAAAAAGCTGTTAAATTTTCTGAAGATACACTCAGTAAATTCACAGATATGGGTGTCAACTCCATGTGCATATGAATAATTTTACAGTTTTACTGCCTGTATTTATACTACCATTTTCCATCAAAAGCATTAAATCACAGTAGAAGCCTATTAGCCATCTGTTGTAAACACCATGAGCAAAATGTGTGACCTTTGCATTTGCAATACTAACAGAGCTAGGCCTTTTTTTCTTTTCTTTCACTAAATTAGTTCTTCAAATAAAAAAAATTAACCACCAGAAGAGAATGTCTCAAACTACTATGTTTAACTGCCTTTCTAACTAACCTATAAATAGGTTAACAAATTTTTTGTTAGCTACTTGGAGCAGAACAACAGCAAACCACAGGCAAAGAACTTAAGGCCAACTGTCTGTACATGCCTACCAAAATTAATAAATGTTTGTAATGGAGAAAAATGCCCTTTCTATTAGTTATAAACATGTTCACCAGGTAGTGACACATGAGTAGACAACTGCCTTGAAAGCTATGTGAAGGACTTTTCTGGTGTGTTTGATAAATTTATTGATCTCTCAGCCAATCTAGAAGCTAGTAGGTTTGGATTTTACATTCTTACTTTTCATTATGTATATTTTGTGTTTTTAATTACTTGATTAGTCTGAAAGCCATATTAGGAAAGATAAGATAAAATCTATAGGGGAGAATTCAGAGCACAGATGTATCATGTGACAGAAGATAAAAAAAAAACAACATTTGTTAGTGGTTCCTTTTGAAATTAAGACTTAAATAATATAACAATTTTAATTATAAACTACGTTTTGATGCCAAGTTTATTGACATACATTGACAGTAAAGTTGTTTATTACTAATAAATTGTAAAAGCATGATACAAGACTTATGACAGGTACAAGGTTATTTATCACATGCATTTTTAAAAAAATGGGTATTTTCAACGAAAGGCAACTGCAGTTTACATCACTATATCTAATTTCTTTTTCACACTTAATATGATTCACTTCATGCTTTTCTAGTTAGGTTTAAATTTTTAATAAGTTGTTCAGCCATCACAACCTTTCAACACTTGAATAAAGTGAATTCTTTAAAGAACTTAGTGATTAGTGGAATTGTTAAATGATTAATTGTCAGGCTCATTAATTGATTACATTCAGTTAATAAATGATTCTCATATGAGATAGCTAAAAACATAAACTATAATGACAAAAATCAAGTTTTTATACCTATGGTGGATAGAGTACAGATAGCTCATTGTGTAGTTTTGTTGTTGATGACAACAAATATTATGATAGTAGTAATAACTGGAAACCCTAATTTCAATTAGTTGATTATTTTCATGAGCCATGATACTTGATTTAATCAAAAATGATAATGAAAAATCATAAGGGCAATATTTCAATTATTAGTCGATAATTATATGACATTAATCGATTTAATCATAACTTCAATTACTGTGACAATGGAAATTTCAATTACTAGATAGTTACTAGCTGTATATTTTTTATGACATTAATACATGTGATCAATTATACTGGTTAATTGTCCAGCTCTAATTCTTTATAATAACTGTGCTATGATACTTCTGGTGTTGAGTCTATAACTATGTGGTTGTGTTCATAAATGTTTATTTACAAAAAAGCAAGTCCACTGTTTATACTTTGATTGTTACTTTTCTTGGGTCAACAAAAACTCCAAACTCAGAATAACTCTGTGTAATGGTTTAATACTTAATTTATGAAATGGCTAAATCATTTGCAAGCACCTTAAGTAATAATTGGAACTTGACATCATAAGCCTTAACTAGTAGTTGGAACTTGACATCATAAGCCTTAACTACTGGTTGGAACTTAACATCATAAACACCTTAAATCAATTACAAACATCTTACCTTATGGTCAAAATTTTACTTCTTAAATACCTCAATCATTAATGAATCCTAAAGGGTTCCTTTTTCTTCAATTAATATCAGCCTTCTTAATTGATACTTGAAAAGAATATAGCATTACAACAAGAAAAAGAACTTAATAAAAGAATCATTACACATTGTCAAGTATCTTACCTGATTATCTGAGCCTTTTTCCTTTTCTGTTTCTGAACTCGTTGGTCTAGAAACAAAAATTTTATTCTATTAATGCTTACTTTTAAATATTTATTGATAAAAATAAAGGAAAAATATTTGAATACTTGGATATTTAGGAGTTTATTTATAAATCTACACAGAAGTATTCTTGTTCTGTCACAAAAACAAAAGGTTGTGATAACATCATTAGCAGCAATTTACACAACAATAGCTACAGAAAAGAATATATTTAACTTTTTTTTTAATCTGATGAACATAGGTAAAATGGGCAGCATCTGCCCAGTTCAGAGCGACACTTGTAGAGAAAGTCGAGTATAAAAGATGATATTTGGAAGGCCTTTCATTTCCTGGTTAATTTTTCCACTTTACCTGAGTTACTTTTGTAGTTTAGTCCACCAAGACTTCCTCTACAAGTGTCACTCTGAACTAGATAGTTGCTCCCCATTTCACCTCTTATTCGTTCATTATGAATACTCTGCCAACAATTCATCTATAATATAATTTTTTGATCTATTCATAAAGTTTCATGCTTTTTAATTACATGTAATTAAAAAGCATTGGTTAGTGCAGCTTACCCATTTAGAAGATAGTACATGTTGCACATTAAACTACCAACTATTAGACCCAATTGAGAAATTTCAGAAACATTATACAGTAATGTGACTCGTATGAAACAAAATACGACAAGACTGAATTACTTATTGATAAGAATTAAGTAAGACAAATACAAATGTTTACATTGTAACAGTTTAAATTATTTAATTTAACAAAAATTACTAATTCACCAGCAGAATATTCAATATTAATTTTTCTGTTACTCCTAAAATTGTTATTTTTTTAGAACAATACCATAAGATAAAAACAATGTTTTAAAACTGGTTTGGGCATTAGTTCCAAATGATTCATATACAGTCAATAATAATATGACAATAATTTCATACAGTTAACAGAATACAAACCGTCAATTATTATTTTTTATTTGAGTGTATAAAGTGTAAATTACCGAACTGATGCTGTTTGCAATGAGCGTGCCAGAAACTTGGCTGATATACTGTATCGAGGCATGTACCCTATATTATTGTCTGTTACTTTTCTTATCTGGCTATCAATGGGACACTTCTCCAGGCTTTCATAATTACTCTTCATGAATTTTTCTCTCTTTCCAAGCCGTTCCAGATTTTCAGTGCTAAAGCTTAAGGAGTGAAGAATGGAGCGATTCTCGTCAACTGGAGTTCCCGAATCTTCATCATCACTGTTGAGTTCATTGTAATCTGAAACAATTCAGCCTAAGTTTAATATGATGCTGGACTACACCAACAAAGAAAATTGCTACATGGAATACAGAACTGTTTAGAATTACAGTAATACTTCAATAAGAAAAAAAAAATCTCTTTTATAGCTAGATATAATTCAAGAGTGGTAAATAAACTGGTTGTAGCTTTATCAAGGTGAAAAAATTATATTATTTATTTGCACAATTTAGAAAAGTTCAAATAAACAGCTTATTAGCAGTTTCATTTTATAATTTACTTGCTTATCTTCAAATACTTCTTATTTTTTTAAATATTTACTTTACACAGTTATTGTTGTAAAGCATAAACAAACAAATAAACAAAATCCTACAGAGTATTTTGAATGCAGGGAAAACTAAGAATGTATCATACAGTAAATAATAATAAAGTGTACAAATATGAATATTGGAAAAAACAATAGTAATAACACATTACCGATAATGATTGTAACATGTGCTTACAAACCTAAATATAAAAGCAAAGTGCAACATAACTAGTAAAGTTATCAGCACCATGATTTTATTTATTGAACATCATATATAATATAAATAACTGATACTTTTTAAAAACCTAGAAATATTTAACCATTAACCTGAGGTAACAGGAATATCTCTAAGTCTTTCTAGTTTTGAAGAACCTCGTTGCTTCCTCCTACTTTCTCGTAGGTCTTCTTCAGTCGTAGTATTGATATGAAAAGACCTAGAATTGCACAAACCAGCGTTACTTCTCTGTTTTCAATAATAACAATCTATTGCTTCTATACAAACATTCTAACTTATACAACTTTTAGAGAACCTAAAAATATCTTTTTAACTTTGTGTTATTATTCTGAATTTCATCTTTCAATATTTTTAAGGTCTTTCCCTAATTCTGATCTTTATATTACCAGACTGACTACATTTTCAAATACCAATCGTAATTGATGTAAAATATGAATATCAGCCTAAAACAAATCTTAATCTCAATACAAAAAATAGGAATTATTTACAGAATGCATGGTTTTCACATATTTTGGATGATTTAATGCACGGCCAGTCGGCAGTAGTCAGACTTAAATTTCTGCAGAGCTCATGCTTGACAAGAGATCTGTATCAGAATAACATTTCTAACTGTTGTGGTTTAAGTTGTTTTTCGTTATTTTCACCTTTAGTTTACTTTACAGGTATTTCTTATCTATTAAACTAACCTGACACTTGTTCTTTTGTATTATTTTTTCTCTTTGTATTCCTGGTTTACGTGGTACTGAAGTTGTGCCTCAATGTCATAGAGAAGTAATTTCTTATACTGTAATTGTTATGGTTGATTTTTTCCTCTTATAATTACGTTTATGTTATTTAATTAGTAAACTTACCTGGGACTTTTTTTGGTCTACATATTTTCAAGTTAATTTTTGTGAGGGTGATGCATTGATAATGGAACTCTTGCCTCCCCCCCCCCCCCACTCGTTTTTC